GCCGGTGGCGGGGAAGGTGGTGGTGGTGGAGGGGTGGGTAACGGGGAGCACACGACAGAGACACCGTCGAACGAGACGAATCGCAAGGACAGCGGGAACAGAAGCAATACGACAACTACGACCACTACGACGACCAGCGGTAGGCACAGGTGCGCGGAGAATCAAGTTATATTTGGTAGGAGACCTCGCACGGGCAGAAGAAGAGCCGGCGAAACTCGGCTACGGGAGAGTCAGTCATTGAACCGCATCACGGAGGTCCAAGAGGCTGAAGGCCCGTCGTCGTGTCACAGTCACTGTCACGTGTCTCGTAATTCGGCTGTCCTGGGCGTTCAGAGCATGTCCTCGTCGTCTTCGTCGGTGTCTCAGAGCAGCACAGGTTCCCACGGCCTCGCTCAACCTATGTCTCAGGCAGCTTCCACGGTGCAGAAGGCGAAAGGCTTTGGAGCTAGGCTCCTTCAAAGCTGGTCGCTCAGCACCGGAAAATCCTCCTTGTCACAGTCGTCGAACAAGCAGAACAACTGCAGCCCTAACGGGAGGTGTACAAAGCAAGAGGTGCAACGAGACGGGTGTCAAAGGATCGAGATCTGTTGCGACGACAGGGAGATGAACGGCAGCTCGGTCAACCAGATACCGTCCAACGATAAGGAGAACAGAAACGGTTCGATGAACAGGAACGACTGCAAGAGCCGGAAAACACGACTGCTTAGTCGTTACTTCGCCGTGCACAAGAAGCTGTGCGTCCCGTTGCCGGGTCTGTTCGGCAAAGGGCGCTTGTACAAGGCCAGGTCGTGCGGCAGCATCGCTCGCGATCGCGTCAGCCCTCCGTCGCCCAAGTCCATGTTGTTCTGCACCACGGCGGACGACAAATGGCGGGAGCGTCGGCAATGGTGCGACGCGAAGCACCAGCATCGCGGCAGCGACGGCGACATCAACCAGAATCTAGGTCTCTCGCACCTGGTCCAGGAAACCGTGGTCGGCAAGGGCTGCGGCGCTCTGCCCACCGTCTGCCACATTCACCTGGGTGACGCGTCCAAGTGCTGCAGCCTTTGTTGATGAAACCGCGTTGAGAGCGAGTCGATGCACAAACGATGGATGACACAGTACGATTGTGGACGAGCCGCTGTTACGCGACGGATAATGTACGCCGCCGATTCGAGCGGAGGAGGGCGCGGCTAATCACGAAGTGCAATCTATTTTATAGTAGCGACGACCGATTCGCGGGAACACGTGGCCTCGTCGGTTATGCAGAGACGTACAAGGCGACGGTCATACGAACGACCGGACGTCTTCTGAACGCCATACGCGTCGCGATGATCGTCAGCAACGACCTTTCGACGATTACGCGGCATGCGTCAATGGTCAATGCGTTTGATCGATCGCGTCATGTTTACCCCCTCACGCCTCACTCTCACCATACCTTACTCCTTCCCTCGAATGATGCGTGCCGACGAGAGTAAAAGGGTCAAGTCGAAAAGGAGGGCGTTATCGATCGATCTGTCGCTCTGCGGGAAGTGTATCTAGTCCGTGTGAACAAACCTATATTAAACGTTACAGAGTTTATTACAATTATAATAATTATTATTATTAATTTTATTTTTACTATTAATATTATTAATATTATCACGTTTATTATTATTATTATTACGATTATTGACTACGATTAATATCATTGTCACTATCTATGGTATGACTTAGATATCGACGTGAATCGGGTGCAACAAAGTCGCTAAAATCATCCGTGGACATTGGAATCTCATTACCATGGAGGGTCTTCCTCATTGGCGTAACTAACCAAGTTGACTATAAAACATTCGATACTTTTCATACCAAGTGGAGCTTCGGCTTCATCTACAGCATCAAATTATCCCATTCGGGAGATTGAAATGCCAAATAAGGACTGTATAGGAAACTGTTTCATAGAATATAGAGAAACGGATCTTCATGCAGAATGCATTTGATGCCCGAGTCATCAAAAGCTAACCTAATGACTGATTTACGAATTTTCTTTTCTCGAATGCTGCACACCGTTAGCCAAGAAACGTGTCGATGTAGGGATATAACGCGAGACTAACGCCTTGTGATCTAACACGCGGTGACATAACGGTGGCCCACCTCGGACAAAGATCCTAGTTACGCCAATGGTTTTTCTCCCTGCTCCCCTTAATTTATCTGTCCACCTCCCATTCTCCCGGTTCGCGATGACCGTACTGTTTTCCTGCGCAGAGACGCCTCCGGTAGCATGATCGTGGCTCTCGCGGATCTCGCGTGATTCAAAAAACACGAGCGACGCGGTATTTATATGTAATCGATTAAATTTGCGTATCGTTTCGATGGAGGACATTGTTAGTGGTGCTACAAATGGTCGACGTGACGAGCAAGAAAATGGAAGAATTCGATCGACGTTCAATTCTTCAAGAAGAACGAACTTCACTTTCGGGTGAAATCTGATCGCTATCGAAACGGGCAACTAGGATTTTATAGAAGAAAGATATTTGATACAACTTGGACACAGTGGAAAGTGCGAACGGAAGGTCTTGGTTCAAAAAGTCTTGAAAGTATATTACCGGCTCACATTTTAGCTAGTGTCATCCGTGAATTATGAGTTTTAACGAATTCAGCCTATACACTGAAAAAGGAGAATTTCTTTAGAAAGATACGGGGAAGTAAGATTCTACAAATGGGTACCTGCTGAGCCTCCCAAGCGGAGACAAGGATAGACCATCAAATATTCTGCAACCTAAACTATGAAAGAAGTTACTATCGAAGAAACCCCAATGCAAAATCATTTAGTATAAAAAAATGTTCTACAAATTCATCCCGGAAAGGCGAGCAAGAAGTCTTCAGAAACCTGACGTCACGCAGTTTTCTTCTCGTCACCCGTTCCCTCTTCGTATTGACAGCGAGTCGCGCGCTTGCCGGCTGAGCGCGTTCCTCATTCGTTCATAATCATTCTCATCCCAGAGAAACAAACGCCTTGCTGTGTGATTAGCATCGCGACATCATGACTGATGGATGTTACACGCGTCTTGCAACCGAAATAAACCGAGACGCTGAACAACGATTATCCATGACATTACACGCTTTTCTTCTTCGTCGAAGCTTGCTGAAGACTCGAGCAGGATGGACTTTCTTCAATTAACTTTATCTGCTTCGAAGATCGAATGCGGGTCATTCGGCAGAGATTTCGCTGAGTCTAAGGGATGCATGTGCACACGTTTCGCTTTTCACCCTCCCTTTTTGTATGTACGTCACTGCGGGCGAGCGGCGCAAGGGTTAAAGGTCGAAATTCTGAGATTCTTCAAGTAAACTGTTTTTGTGGATTCTTGAGATGGCAGGTACGGTTCTGTGTACTTAGGACCTTTATTTTATCGAGTTTTATAGGTTACTTTGGTTCTAAAGTCTCGTTCGTCACATATCAAATATTAATTATCTACCACGTTTATGTATGATTATTCAGTTCAAAATGTTTAGACAAAGAAGTTGAAATTTGTACAATTACTGTTACAGCTAAACTAAGATGTAGCTATATTTCAAGAACCACACGTTCTCGTACCTGAACTATAAACTGCCTCAAAGGAATATGAGAACATCTGAAGAAACTTTCAAGATTTTTCTCACAAAGCAGCTTACTCTAAGAAGTAAATGATATCAGTTCTTGAAAACTTCAGTTAATATATGGAAATTTCAAACGAAGTTTAATAATGAAGTTTTGCACTCGATCGACCTTTAAATCTCGATTGTTCCCTCGTCGCAGTGAACGTTTCTCCCTCGAATAGCCGAAGATCGTTGGTATGTACCTAACACGTATCAGGTGTACGAAACCCACGCGTTACTGTATGTACCGAGCCAGACGTTTATAGTGTAATACAATTTATTTATTATATACATATATACATATATATATAACCTGTTGAGAGACGATCCTTTTCTCAATCGTCACTGCCCGACGATCGTCGACCCTCTTTTACTTCTCTCATGTTTCACCCTAGCGAAAAAAGTTATCCAGGTAAATCCTAGTTCGGGTCTCCGGATTAGAGATACATTGTATACTAAGTGCGGAAAGATATACAAATAATAATTTTCATTAATTCGGCCGAATCAGTACTGATCAGTGTGATCAAGTTTTCGGAACATTTTGCAGTAAGTAAACGTTTCTTTGTCAGATTATTTACGTTCCATTAATTACCAGGAATCTTATCATATTTTTTTGTGAAGATAAAGCTATCATTTTGATTCGAATAGATAAAAACTTCTGTAATTTGTCTTTGTAAATCATCTTTGAAATGCCTTCTATCGTTCTAAATAACAGATGTTAATTCAGATTTGCAATACATCGTAGTTCGACAAAAAATGAATGACTATTAATGTCTTTACCTGGATATTCTACTTCGTTTTTACTGCGATTGGAACTGTTTTTATGCTGTTACTAATAGAATGGCGAGTTGCGAAATAGAGTCCAATATGGCGTCGCTTTGAACGGTGGCGGGAAACGTTCCAACTTCGTTGACGGATAATTATTTCATTGAGCTATGAAATTCGAGAAACTATAATCCCGATCGCGTTAAAATGTCTTTAATAATCAACTTTACCTCTTAATTTATTGTTCCTCACAACAAAAGTTCCGAATACTTCGTCACACTGTTCAGGAGTTATAAAAGCTCGCTAACTCCCGAGTCCACTTAGATAATAAGAATAGTTGAAATATTAAATTGCTCTTCATTCGCTACGACACCCCGAAGTGACTTCCCACTTGATGTCTCAGACCTTTACAGTTCCACAACACACTATGATAATAGATCCTGTCGATGGCACAACCGTGATAGCTAGCAAGAAATGAAGTTCCGATGAGATCAAGTGTGGAAGACACGTATGAGCGCAAATTATAAATGTCCAAAATATGTGGTAAAGCTCTTGAGATCGCCTCCAGTTCGATATCTGACTCCCAAGCAGTAACTCGATCGATGTTACAGTTGTTAGACGTCGAAAGGATGGGATCTAACGGTTGCGTCGTCGGGTGTGTCGCTTTTGGGCAACTGCCCATCAACCCTGAGGAGCCCAACACTGCCTCGTGGCACAGGCTTCCGTTGGGTTGTTGCTGGTGTTGTTGCAGCATCAGCGTCTGGCTCGAAATCACCTGGAATTGCTCGTTGATCAAAGGCGCGCCTCTGGCCACGCATATCACTCCATCCCGTATTAAATGGACCCTCTCCGAGTTACCACTTAACGTTTAAAAGGAGTTTGCTTCCTCGACAAAGACTGAGCAAATTGTACAATAATCATCGATCACTAAATCAGACCAAAAAGATGGAAAATGGAAAGAACGGATGGTAATTCGACGCTTGTAACTTCCTTTTCAGTCGCGTCGGATCACACGTTCTGTCGATTACGTTCAACGAAGTCGTTCGTGTACCAACGAATCGAACGGGGAAGTGTAAAAACGGGCATTAAATTTCCGTTCGATGGAAATGTAGAGAGAACCATGACATCCCTGTTTTAGCTGTAAAGCGAATGTGTTAGCGATGTGCTTCGTTGTCGGGCATTAACCCCTTAAGAGCTCAAGTTTTGGGGGAGATTCTTCGTAAGTGGAATATATTTTCGTGGACAGTAATTTAGTTTGCTTTCGAATTTTATTTCTGCTGGATTTGCGGATATTTGGAAATCTGAGAATTTTGGAGTTTTAAGTCTCGGTTCCTAAATTAGAAAGTTAAACTTGGATTTTATTATTTAGGAATTTGAGGATTTGGGGATTTCAAGATCTGTGAATATAGAAATCTGAAAATGTCTCAGTTTCTATATTTGAGAAAGTTTCTGCATTTGGGAATTTTCATCCTGAAAATTATCAGTAAATTGCGCAATTGACTTACAAATTTTGGAGGTTGTAAAAGTTTCAAATATTCTACAAGAATGTCACATCGAGTACTAAAAATATAAAATTTGTGGTAAATATGATCCTTAAGGGGTTAAATGAACCCGGAGAATTCATAAGCTTGACCAATAAAATACTTTACCCTTGGAACGTTCTATTCGATTAGAGTGCAAACGGGCAATCCCTTTCCGTTTTTATTTATTATTTTTCTAAGTATACCCGTAAATTAAGTACCCTAGAAAGTGTTGCATCTCCGAGTTTCCTGTAAGCGGGGGATTCGTGTCCCCATACGGACACTATCTATGATAAATAAGAGATATTTTTCGTGTTGTAAAGCGACTTCCCGTGTTGTAAAGAGTCGCGACGAAATTTCCACGCTGACATTCTCGTTTGCTAGTCCCGTTCAAGTTGTCTCCGACAACGCTGTCGCATAGAGTACAATATTGTCCCACGAATTTTTGTAATTCGATAAAATATCCCGTTTTTTCCACCGACATTACACGCCATTTCGCCAAGCGTGTCCTTGGAGATCGAAACGAAAAATATAATTAACAAGACAAAAGAGTATATACATAAATATATACATATATATATATACATATAAGACAAGTGTCCGCTTTAGGTTTCATAAATGTCGGCCCAACTTACTGCCAGCTGAATGTAACGAGACAAGAGAAACAACAATAAGATCCATTTTGTGTGCACCTGACGACGATGTGAAGCTGTCGCTCTGGGGTGCACATAATTATTCATGCAATAAACTGTGTGCCCGAAACGAATAAATGAAAAGTAACGAATCAGCGAGATAGTCTCTGCTGACGGTGTAATTTCTCTTATATTGCCACCCTTCTACCTTTTATTTTATTCAGCTATTTCTGTGCATCGCTTTTATGACGGAAGTTTTGGGGAGCGAAATAGAATGATTAGTTTGGCGCACAGATGGCGCCGGTAGGTTGTGATTTATTTATTTCTTTCAAGTTTGGCGGTAGCTGTATTTGGTACAGTTGCGATTTTTTAAATTTAGAAATTTGGGAGGTTTTAGGTTTATTTATTAATTTGGAAGGCTGGAGATTTGGTAGGTGGAAGTCTCAGAATTTGTGAATTCTGGATTTGAGGATTTTGGGAAATTTGAGAATTTGGGGTTCGGGAAATTGTATATGTGGGAGGTTGGGATTTGAGAAGTAGGAAATTTAGGTATTTGAATATATGGAAGTAGGAAATTTATAAGTTAGGAAATTTGTGAATGTAGTACTTGCAAACTTGGAAGTTTACGTATTTGAAAATTTAGAAATCCAGTAATTCTAAAAATTGAAAACTTGGAAATCCAGTAATTCTAAAAATTGAAAACTTGGAAATCCACTAATTCTAAAAATTGAGAATTTAGAAATCCACTAATTCTAAAAATTGAAAAATCCAGTAATTCTAAAAATTGAAAATTTAGAAATCCACTAATTCTAAAAATTGAAAATTTAGAAATCCACTAATTCTAAAAATTGAGAATTTATAAATCCACTAATTCTAAAAATTGGAAATTGAAAAATCCACTAATTCTAAAAATTGAGAATTTAGAAATCCACTAATTCTAAAAATTGAGAATTTAGAAATCCACTAATTCTAAAAATTGAAAATTGAAAGTCCAGTAATTTTAAAAATTGAAAATTGAAAAATCCACTAATTCTAACAATTGAGATTACAAAAATTTGCAATCCTGCAAATAGAGGAATCTACAGACTCAAAAATCTACCAATTTCTAAATTGACTAATTATCAAACTCCAAAATTGAATCTGAAGTAGCGATCTAAAGAAATATTTCATATTTCTTAATTTTTATTCAGGTCAAAAAAATACACAACTACAATGAAAATTGATTTATTCAGAAACGTTAAACACCGAATAAAAATCACTCTATTCTCTTCAACATTTATTAAAATACTATCTTTAATTTACGACTGCAACCATTTACAAATAACATGTCCAACATCGATTAACGTCTCGATGCACAATTGATGGGCGGATTTCGAAAAATACATATATATATACAATGATCGATGTAATTAGCTCAGATAGCCACGAATTATCGCCACGTGTCTCGTGTACAGTTCGTGGCCGTTTAATCAAATCTCGGCCTTTTGGCACCTGTTCAATCTTGCTGTTGGCAACATAGTATTCACTGGTCAACATGTTTCAAAATATTAGAAACTTCACAATGTTGCGTCGATTTATCCGAGTATTATTTGTACCCTAACGATAAAAACCGAACGCTTCGCAGGTAAATGCATACAGAACGTTAAGTCATGGATCGACTTTTACCAAAACAATGTGTGGGGAATGTTGAAAATTCGTATCTTAAAAGCTGCAACTATCAGTCGACTGGTTCTTCAGGCTTCTTCATTTATGAAGATTCGAGGTAATCGTAGTTTCAAGGCAACGATGATGTTGTTCTTCTCTTTGGAAGAACAACTGTGCGTACACTGTATTTATCTTTTTTGGACTAACAATGCCGGATGAACTTGGCTACGGGTTATCTTATTCTATTTTGTGTTTTTTGGTGGAAGTTGTGTTTTATGGGGAAGTATAGCTAAGGACGCTGTATCAAAGATGGCGAATTTACTCACAAATCAGTTCATGTGAAGGTGAAGGTTCACAGATTGTGAAAAGCAAATTTGTTCGCGTAGAAAAAATATGGCGGTTAAGAAGGAGAATGACACTTCTTAATTTTTAGAAAAAAGTTTGAAGAATTTAGAAATCCGGATTTTAATATTTCTGAATTTAAACAATTATCTAATCTTTGAAAATTCAGAAACATAAGTTGAAAGTATAACAATTTGCTGACTTAAATTACAGCTGAAGCTTATGAAGCTGGCTTTGTGAACAATTATGAAATGTCCCTCTAAATATCTTTTTACCGAAACATATTTACATATTTTATACCAAACATCTAAGTAATTTGAAGTAACTATTAAATCCTTCAACAAAATTAATAAAGTACTTTCCTATACCACACGACTTGCATCAAAAAACCTTAACGAAACGGACCGCTTTACCGATAAACATTTGACCGCACATCTCTTACGTAAACTACCTAAAAACAATTGCTATACACACGCGTCTACCTCGGTTGTTTCACAGTTGGCGACGATTCAACCAGGAAGCGATTTCTATATCCGTGTGCAAGTGTCGGTCCATTTGTAAAAGAGGACATTTTGGAAACGGATAATTAATCACTGTTCTCCTCTCTCCCCGAGGAGGATTAATACTTCCTGTAACCTTTGATCGTTCAAAAAGCACGGAACCTCCGTGTTCTTTCGCGCATAACGAAAATATCACGATTTCTACGCGTTGTGTCTTCGGAAGACACTGAAAGTCCTTTGGGTTTTCTTCGTAGCTGAATTTTCTATCGGGTGACGCCATTACGTGTGCGCTGTTTGGTCCATGTGCTGCAGAGCCTTTTTACTGTTCTCCACGAATTCCTGTAATGGAAAGTAGGGTTAGGATCTTGTTAATAAAGGGGTAGGATTAATCTTGTTATTAAAGGGTTCGAATTAATCTTGTAATTAATAAGAGAGAGAGAAGGCAATCTTTGAGGAGTACCATTAGTCCTCGGCTCATGAAGTATGGTCGGCTGATGCCATCGTTCTTCTCGCAGTCCTCGCAGAAGCAGAGGAATATCGTGTCTATGATCATCTACAATGGAGGCAGAAGTTATTTGGATTGTTTTTTGCTGATTTGGTATAATATGGCAATTTGGTAGATTTACAGTAGCAATAGTAGCAATAGGGATTTAGTTTGAGATTCGTTTAGGAATTTGGAAGTCTACAGATGTTGGGGTATAAAAGTTTGTGGACACGGAGATTATTAGCAATATCACTTCATCACTTAGCAGATAGAATTAATGTCAATATTAGCACCTTCAGAAATTAGCAGATTTAGAAATTTAGTGAAAAGATTGGAAAACATGGGAGTTTGAAATTCTAGAAATCTAAAATCATAGATTCTAGGGTATCCTACATTCCATAAAAAAGAAATCTAAGAATCGAGGAACTTAGAAATGTAGGATTTGAGTATCTTCTAAAGTATCTACTAAATAGAACCTTGAAAGGTAAAAGAAAGAAAGATTGATTTCATTACAAAGATACTGCCAATCCAAGTGTGAATTTTAAAATAAAAAGATAGTATGTAATTACCTCATAGATGGAAATGAAGCAGTGCGCCACCAAGAAGGCAAACACACCACCTAATGCAATTGGTACCCAAGGATAATGGAGTCCTTCCTTCTTCTAAACATACAGGCAATTAACAGATCTATGTTGACCACGAATTCGCTAGTTACGTACCTGCATCAAGTAGATCCCTGAGACGACTGTTAAAGTAACCACCAGGACCTTCCCGAGGAACAGCACGAAATCTCCGACACTGTTAATGGCTGCTACCCTTAGAATGTTGCTGGATAACGCTTGGAAAGCCTTCTTTCCTCCCACGCAGAAGTTACATCCGTAGATGGCTGAAAATTTATAATTGAAAATTTGTTAATTTAAGCAAACTGAGTTAGTTAATTTGTTAGTTAATTTGTTAGTTAATTTGTTAGTTAGTGAATACTGTTTTAGTTAATTTGAGTATATTTTGCAATTTTGTGGATACCTGTTTCGATGTAGGCGTTCCTGGTGAGGAATTTTAGAGCGCACTCGAAACACCAGAGGCAACATTGGCAACACCATAGTATTCCTTTAACCAGGTCGTTATCGTAACGTTTCAGACGATTCTGTATGAAGGATAAGACTGCTCTTATCAGTCGAACTATTCCGATTATCAGTGCACCGAATGCTACGGTGCCCAGGTGATAACGCACCAGGTAACAGAATCCTCGGGTTACCGTCAGTGACAGTTGTCGTTTGTCCCTGTTAACGTTTACAAATTTAAATTATTTTTTTTGTTATAAAATAAACGACTCTTGCATAATACTGCACAATGCAAACACTATGCAAACAATTATAAGACAATTTACTTTCATCCAAACTCGATGAAAGACATTTTATTACATTAATTCTATCGCGTGCAACAAGATGGCGCCATAGGTGTCGCTTCGAAACCATTCACTTATATCAAATTTAGAAACAGAAGTTTGTAAGGTATCGACTTTTCAATTATGACAATTTCTCTACTTTACTGTACAAATTAAACAAATGTGTCATAATTATTTTCACTCAGAATTTAAAAAATGAGTGCAGCAGATTTTTAATGAATGAAAAAGATTTCTTTGAAAATGATTTTAAGAAACAGACACCATTGATCATATGTTAAATTAATTTTAACAATAAATTGTTTTTGTTGGTCAAAAACAATTGTCATTGCTTTTCATTCAAGATAATTGTATGAAGTATGAAGTTTGTTATTCTGATATGTTCAATATTAATTTTAACTTAGTATGTCTAGTATTAATGTTGTATTAAAATATTCAAGATTAATTATTTTAATATGTTCTATAATAATATAATTTTAATATAATGTTCAATATTAACGTTCTTCTAGTTTGTTTAATATCCAAGAAAATTTAACTAAAACTTAATAACAATTTTTCATACATCAAACATCTAAGATTTACTCAAAATTAATTTTAAATAATTCCAAATTCCAAACACTACAAACTTCATACAATAAACAATTCTCTACACAAAAGCATGTAAATTCGCAACGATATACAGCAAGCAATTCATATTCAAAGTACGATATCGATCAGAATGTCACCTGGTGAAGAACCAACGTGCAACGGCCAGCGCAACCACCATGTGTTGACAGCCCAGAAGAAACTCACACGTGACGAAGAAGAAAAATATATTGTACCATCTCGTCGCCTGTAACATCATTCAAAAATTGATCATCCCATCGTCCTATCACTCTTAACTTTCTCTCAAAAACTTCGTTCTCTTACAATTATCCAGTCATCCTTCTTGAAGTGAATATGATTCTTCCTGTTCATATAGATGTGTCCCGCGCTTTCTACCCAGAGCGCGAAGTAAACCCAAGCACACACGGTCAAACCGATTAACAAGTATGTCTGAAACACGATTTAATCTATTTTCGAACGGCAATCTAATATAACAAACACACCACAAATTGAAATAGTTTTTTGTTCTTTTTTCGAGGTATGAAATGGTGAACGGATTGAAAAGGGGTTGAGGGTTTAATGTTGTGGAAATAGTTCTTTCGGTGGAGGGTGTTTACGGGTAGATCGAGTTTTTATTATTTTGGGCGGGATTTTAGGGATTCGGGGGATTTGGGAATTCGGGAAGTTTGAGAATTGGGGAATATGGGAATTGGGAAATTTGGGAGTTGGAAATGTGGGAATTGGGGAATTTGGGAGATGGGGAATGTGAGGATGGGGGAATTTCGGAAATGGGAAATTTGGGAGTTGGGAATGTGGGAATTGGGGAATTTGGGAGATGGGGAATGTGAGAATTGGGGAATTCTGGAAATTGGAAAATTTGAAATTGGAACCCTTGGAATTGGGGAATGTTGGAAATTGGGAAACTTGGAATTGGGAAATTTGGAATTGGAACCCTTGGAATTGAGGAATGTTGGAAATTGGGAAACTTGGAATTGGGGAATGTTGGAAATTGGGAAACTTGTAATTGGAACCCTTGGAATTGGGGAATTTTGGAAATTGGAAAATTTGTGTATTGGAACCCTTGGAATTGGGGAATGTTGGAAATTGGAAAACTTGGAATTGGAACCCTTGGAATTTGGGAAAATTGGAAATTGGGAAACTTGGAATTGGAACCCTTGGAATTGGGGAATGTTGGAAATTGGGAAACTTGTAATTGGAACCCTTGGAATTGGGGAATTTTGGAAATTGGAAAATTTGTGTATTGGAACCCTTGGAATTGGGGAATTTTGGAAATTGGAAAATTTGTGTATTGGAACCCTTGGAATTGGGGAATTTTGGAAATTGGAAAATTTGTTAATTGGAACCCTTGGAATTGGGGAATTTTGGAAATTGGAAAATTTGATATTGGAACACTTGGAATTGGGGAATGTTGGAAATTGGGAAACTTGAAATTGGAACCCTTGGAATTTGGGAAACTTGGAATTGGAACCCTTGGAATTGGGGAATGTTGGAAATTGGGAAACTTGGAATTGGAACTCTTGGAATTGAGGAATTTTGGAAATTGGAAAATTTGGAATTGGAACCCTTGGAATTGGGGAATGTTGGAAATTGGAAAATTTGGGAATGGGAGATTTTAGAATTGGAAAACTTGAATTTAGAAATCTTGAAATTGGAAAATTCCCACCAAAAAAAAGAACAACTTTAAAATTTCCCCATTTGAATTTCTCCACTACTGTCACTACGAAAATATTTCCCCAATTGAATTTTAGCAAAATAAAACCGCTCAGCCCTTAAAAAGTAACAAGAGATAAGATACTTGTGGTGTGCTGAGCTGTTAGCTCGCTCTATGTACCCGTGCATCGTTTTGTTATCAAATATTTACGTATATAGGTTGAAGCAGCAACGCTGGCATCGCGTAAACAGCTTTCCCTGCTTCGCGGAACAGCTGCATCACCAAGGCGATTCTTTTTCTCATCACCAATACGATCAAAAGTGTGACGACCTGCAAATTACACGCGATCAATAACACCAATATTGCTTCGTTAAATAGACTGTCGAATAGCTACAGTAAAATCTCGATTATTTCAACGAAACTGGGGGACATTATCGTTTGTGTATGAAACTGATGTAATTTTTATGAAACGTTTCTTCTTCTGTGAAACGAGATATTCTTCGTAATAACTTCCTTTATCAAGTTTTTAAGATTTATTTAATTTAGCTGTTTATAATAGTTCACTTGAAAATTATGAATTAATTCAATATTTACGTGTTTTTGAATTTTTATAATAATAGACACTTTATGAGATTTTCAAGCTGAAATTACAGCAGCTTCTTTTGCAACGAATTATTTAATACGATATTATTTACGTATCTAAATTTGTGTTATAAGAACTTAATCAAATTTCGAAGCTCGATTGCTCTTAAATAATTTACAACGATATACCATAATACCTGGTCTCAGGTTACACTTGTAATTCAATATTATTTACGTATTTCTGAATAATAATAGATACTTCTTTATTCAAACCTTAAAACGCTTGATCGCTCCTTAATAATTTAGCAGCTTATAATACCTCAGCTTCATTTGCAAGGAATAAATTAATACAATATTATTTACGTATTTCCAAAGTGGTAGAATAATAGCAATCTCCTTTATCAAATTTGCAAGAATATTTATTTGCAAGCTGCTCTTAATTTTCAGCAATAAAGAGTCAGCTGCTCTTAAATAATTTTTAGGAATAAAGAGTAATTTTTACCCTATGAATTGTTTTGAAATTCTTATATTATTTTAAAATAATAATATTAATATTTGCATAGTGCGAACAATACTAATATTTGTTAATCATTTGTTGTGTATTTTAGTACGCAGTTATATTATTTAGTTATTTGCAAGCTGCTCTTAAATAATTTTTAGGAATAAAGAGGAATTTTTACCCTATGAATTATTTTGAAATTCTTATATTATTTTAGAAGAACAATATTAATACTTGCATAGTGCGAATAATACTAATATTTGTTAAACATTTGTTGTGTATTTCAGTGCGCAGTTATATTATTTAGTTATTTGCAAGCTGCTCTTAAATCATTTTTAGGAATAAAGAGTAATTTTTACCCTATGAATTATTTTGAAATTCTTATATTATTTTATAATAATAATATTAATATTTGCACAGTGTGAATAATACTAATATTTGTTAAACATTTGTTGTGTATTTTAGTACGCAGTTATATTATTTAGTTATTTGCAAGCTGCTCTTAAATAATTTTTAGGAATAAAGAGTAATTTTTACCCTATGAATTGTTTTGATATTCTTATATTATTTTAAAATAATAATATTAATATTTGCATAGTGCGAATAATACTAATATTTGTTAAACATTTGTTGTGTATTTTAGGATATAGTTGTATTATTTAGTTATTTAGTATTCAGAGGTAATGATAATATAGGGAATTATAGTTACTCACAGTAACGACAGATAGAATAATGGCGTAGATGAAGTACGCTTGTTCGCTCGAGTCATCTTCAGGTATTTCATTCCTTTCCACCCCTTTCTTCTCCTTGTACCACGCCAGCCTGAAAAGTGTTCTCTATTCAACCTTCCCCGTAAAGGAATCTTGAAAATAATGCTAAGAAGAATCTTGAGATAATGGTAATGAGCAATGTAGCTTGTTATATGATTTATATTATTGAAATGAATCCCAGGGAAGCAGTTATGAACATAACCTTAGATTGCTGGAAGACTAACTCAAACACGCCAAGTGAATTTACTTGGTAAATCAGTTTGAAACTTTTTGCGAATTTTGTTTACTTTGACACTTCAGGGTGTCGACATTTTGTTTTCTTTTGGAAGTTGAATTTGGGGAGGTGGGGATTTGGGAAATTGGGGTGGGGAATTTTGGGATTTGTGGAAATTGGGGTTTTTGTAATTTGGGATCTTGGAATTTTGGGGTTTGGAAAAGTGGGATTTGTGGGAAGTAAAATTTGGGAATTTAGGATTTTGAGAAATTGGGATTTGGGGAATTAAGGGTTTGAGAAATTGGGACTTGTGGGAATTCGGATTTGGGAGAATTGGGACTTGGGAGAATTGGAATTTGAGAGATTTGGGATTTGGGAGAATTGGAATTTGAGAGATTTGGAATTTGGGAGATTTGGAACTTGAGAGAATTGGAACTTGGAGAAATGGGGACTTGGGAGAATTGGAACTTGGAGAAATTGGGACTTGGGAGAATTGGAATTTAGGAAATTTGGGACTTGAGAGAGTTGGGACTTGGGAGAATTGGAACTTGGAGAAATTGGGACTTGGGAGAATTGGAACTTGCGAGAATTGGAACTTGGGAGAATTTGAACTTGAGAGAATTAGAACTTGGAAGAATGGATACATCAAATTTTTCCACCAAAATACAAACTTACCAAAGATACGTCGATCCCCCAATGCACGCAATGATGGCACCGATCAGCACAATATAAACCACCCACTGAACCATGTATCGAAACGCAATTAAAATTCCCAGCGATATAGCTGAAATTTATAAATATAGCTTTGTTCACCAAACTAATAAATAAATAACAAAATTTATTTAAAATACCAAAATTCATAGAAGATGCATACCTAAAGCGATCAGAATAAGGTAAATCAACTCTCTCCAAGCGACAGTCAAATCTCTGGAAGCCTCCTGGAACGTAGAAACATTTCTATGGACATATTTTTGGGGAAGAAAATTGACCCTAGCGAAATGAGATTAACCTTTTGGTAGTTGGAAACCGCGTTATATTTGACCGTAACATTTCGCTGCTTCGTTCGAGCAGCCGGAGCAATGAATTATGCTCGACTCGCGAATATTTCTGCTGCAATATTTTATGAAAATAGAATGAACCTTGGTACATTTATCGAATTCGTTCTGAATACATTAATGAAGTTTTTAGAAAATTCGAGTGATAATTATGATTTATTCTTATTTTTGATCTGGCCAGAAAGATAAATTTGACGGATATTTTATTTATTTGAATTTTATTTATTTGATATTGCAAGCTTTTAGTTATTTGAATTTTATTTATTTGTTATAGCAAGCTTTTGGTTGTTTGAATTTTATTTACTTATTTTGTCAAGCTTTTATTTATTTTAATTTAATTTATTTATTATAGCAAACTTTTAATTATTTTAATTTTATTTATTTATTATATCAAGCTCTTAGTTATTTTAATTTTATTTATTTATTGTATCAAACTTTTAGGTATTTGAATTTTATTTATTTATTTTGTCAAGTTTTTAGTTATTTGAATTTTATTTTTTTATTATAGCAAACTTTTAGGTATTTGAATTTTATTTATTTATTTTGTCAAGCTTTCATTTATTTGAATTTTATTTATTTGTTATAGCAAACTTTTAGTTATTTTAATTTTATTTATTTGTTATATCAAGCTTTTAGTTATTTTAATTTAATTTATTTATTATATCAAACTTTTATTTATTTATTTTATTTATTATACCAAGAATAATTTGAACTCAATAAATTGCACTCAGACTTCAATAATTTTGTGTTTTCTTCTCAAGCAATAGGCAAGTTTATTGCGCCAGAGGGGTGGTTCGAATTATTTACGATATTCTTCCAAAGCATTGTATTTAATTACTCAGATCAATTAAAAATACAGTAATAAATCGTTGGGGCAAATATATTTGTTCACTGAAAATTTTATAATGTTACAAAAATTCAATTTACTATAACAACATCTTTTAGACTTTTTATTTTAAATGTCATAGACAAATGATCAATATTAATTCATTTTAATTATTAGAAATATTGCAAAAGTACAAGGGTGAAGATCAATTAAAAATCAATTAATAAATCACTGTTGTCAAATATATTTGTTAGTTGAAAATTTAACAATGTTACAAAAATTCAATTTATTATAACAACATCTATTAGACTTTTTATTTTAAATGTCATAGAAAAATGATCAATATTAATTCATTCTCATTATTAGAAATATTGCAAAAGTACAAGGATGAAGATAAGTTAAAAAACAATTAATAAATCATTATTATTAAACATACTTGTTGATTGAAATTTTGATAACATTAATTTTTAGATATTTTTTTTTAAATTCATAGAAAGGATGTTAATTTAAATTAGTAAGTTATAAACAACGATAGATCATTCAGTAATAGCACGAAAGGATCCAGGATACAATATCTTTAACCCTCGGCCGTTAGACCGCGATATTTACAACCGGCGGAATTGGTTCAACTTGACCCCAATAATAAGTTCTCATGAAATACACAGGGTGGCCCACTTTTTGGGATTATAATAACCTAAATACGGCCAGTATTTCGATCGGAATGAGGCTCTCTTATATTTATGAGCATGTTCTATTCCCAAGATAAATTCCGCTTCCTACTAAATGAATTTCATTTTCAAGAGAAGAAAACAAATATAAATTTTTCATCTTGACCTCTGCATACCTCATTTTCTTTTGCAAGTGCACGTCAAACTTTTCGTTTGATAAAACAAATGATACTGGATTTTTGGGTTAAAGAGGTTATGTCATCTTTAGAATTAAATTCACTAAAATGTATGCTATGTTGCAAGAGTTAGTTCAAAGATACTTTGTTAAATATAAAAAAATAAATCAATTTCAAGTACATTATTTTGCAAGGGTAAGTTTAATTATACACTGTTAAATTAAAAAAAAAAAATATAGGTTATGTTGTAAGAATAAGCTTAATTATACAACATAGAATTTAAAAGAAAATAAATATCATGTATATTAAATAGCAGGATCAAGTTTAATTATACACTGTTAAATTAAAAGAGAAAAATATATTATGTTGTGAGATTAAGTTTAATTGTACAACATAGAATTGGAATTGGGGAATTTGGAAGCTGGGGAATGTGAGGATTGGGGAATTTTGGAAATTGGTAAATTTGGAATTGGGGAATTTTGGAAATTGGGAAATTTGGAATTGGAAGCCTTGGAATTGGGGAATGTTGGAAATTGGGAAACTTGGAATTGGAACCCTTGGAATTGGGGAGTGTTGGAAATTGGGAAACTTGGAATTGGAACCCTTGGAATTGGGGAGTGTTGGAAATTGGGAAACTTGGAATTGGAACTCTTGGTATTGGAACCCTTGGAATTGGGGAATTTTGAAAATTGGGAAATTTAGAATTGGAAAATTTTGGAAATTGGAAAATTTGGAATTGGAAGCCTTGGAATTGGGGAATGTTGGAAATTGGGAAACTTGGAATTGGAATCCTTGGAATTGGGGAATTTTGAAAATTCGGAAATTTGGAATTGGAACCCTTGGAATTGGGGAGTGTTGGAAATTGGGAAACTTGGAATTGGGGAATGTTGGAAATTGGGAAACTTGGAATTGGAACTCTTGGTATTGGAACCCTTGGAATTGGGGAATTTTGAAAATTGGGAAATTTAGAATTGGAAAATTTTGGAAATTGGAAAATTTGGAATTGGAACCCTTGGAATTGGGGAATGTTGGAAATTGGTAAACTTGGAATTGAAACCCTTGGAATTGGGGAATGTTGGAGAATGGGAAACTTGGAATTGAAACCCTTGGAATTGGGGAATGTTGGAAATTGGGAAACTTGGAATTGAAACCCTTGGAATTGGGAAATTTTGGGTTAAAGAGGTTATGTCAGCTTTCAAATTAAATTCCCTAAAATATGTGCTATGTTGCAAAAATTAGTTCAAAGATACTTTGTTAAATATAAAAAAATAAATAAATGTCATGTACATTATTTTGCAAGGGCAAATTTAATTATACACTGTTAAATTAAAAAAAATATAGGTTGTAAGAATAAGCTTAATTATACAACATAGAATAATTAAAGAAAATAAACGTCATGTATATTAAACTGCAAGATCAAGTTTGATTACCCTCTGTCAAATTAAAGAGTAAAATAAATGTCATACATATGCTGCAAGATCAACTTTAATTATTCACTCTCAAATTAAGAAGTAAAACATATGTCATGTTGCAAGAACAAAAATTATTCACACTACAACTCAAAAGCAAATATCACCTACATATTGCAAGAATAAGTTTAATAATGTACTTCCAAATTAAAAAACAAAGTAAATGTAATTCCACAGAATTTAAGCACGTTAACATTTCCCAAGTGAAAATACTCCAAAAATGGTATCAACAACAGCAATTATCGAAGATCATGAAATGGAGGATAATATAGGGACAGTTTCGATCCGACAACCGGTATAATCAATCAAACACCATGCTTTGGAAGAACAGTGTGGCAGACGTCGACCACCACATCTACCACACAATCAAGGATTAACACCTTGTATCATTAACATCATTGTTCAACGATTGATCATCGTACCGACAGCTCCGAACCACCGGCGGCCATTACACTAACAGCTACTGTAACTCTATTGAAATTTCTATCAAAATAAAGTTTACAAACCCTGTAGAAATTATCTAACCCGAGCTTCCTGATCATGGAAGTTGCCGTCTCGGAAAACTCCTTGGGTATACAGCGATTCAGGAACGATATGTGCCTGTTTAGAAATAATACAAGTTAGGCGAACTGTGGCTGAAATTCAAAGTCGTGGTCTCTCAAGGCTGTTATTATTTCTGTGGGGGGATTAGAGTTTGATTGAATTTGGAGGTTTGGGTGTTTAGGGGGTTGGGAGTTATTGGGTTGAGGATTTTGGGAGATTGGAAATTTGAGAGGGTGGGGATTTGGAATTTTGGGATTTTGGAATTTTAGAAATTTGGGATCTTGTAATTTTGGGATTTTGAGAGTGTGGGGCTTAGGGATTTTGGGACTTTGGGAGCTTGGGACTCTTGGAATTTTGGGACTTTGGGAGCTTGAGACCTTGGGATTCTGGGACCCTTGGAATTTTGGAACTTTGGGAGCATGGGACCCTTGGAATTTTGGGAGCTTGGGACCCTTGAAATTTTGGGACTTTGGGAGCATGGGACCCTTGGAATTTTGGAACTTTGGGAGTTTGGAACTTTGGGAGCTTGGGACCCTTGGAATTTTGGGACTTTGGGAGCTTGGGACCCTTGGAATTTTGGGACATTGGGAGCTTGGGACCCTTGAAATTTTGGGACTTTGGGAGCATGGGACCCTTGGAATTTTGGAACTTTGGGAGTTTGGAACTTTGGGAGCTTGGGACCCTTGGTATTTTGGGACCTTGGAATTTTGGGACTTTGGAAGCTTGGGACCCTGGGAATTTTGGGACCTTGAGAGCTTGGGATCCTTGGAATTTTGGGACTTTGGGAGTTTGGGACCCTTGGAATTTTGGGACCTTAGGAGCTTGGGAGCCTTGGAATTTTGGGACTTTGGGAGCTTGGGACCCTTGGAATTTTGGGACTTAGGGACCTTGGTACTTTGGGACTTAGGGACCTTGGAATTTTAGAGTTTAAGGTCCTGCAACTTCGTGATTTAGTACAATTCTGAGATTTTAAGATCCTAAGATTTTGGAATTTTTAGGCTGTAAGGTTTTCTAATTTTGAGTCTTCGAAACCTTGCAGTGTTCTAAACCTTGAAATTTTTTAATTTTAATACTCTGAAGACTTCGAATTTTAGTCATCTCTCAAATCAACGACATGAATAATATACAATAATAATAAACAATACATAATACAAAAATAACATAAATAAATTGCAGGTTAAGTCGTCCAAATCCCCCAAAATCATAGGTGAAGCCTTAAAACCTTAATAAAAGAGTAAACCTTATTAGGCAATTCATCCGTTCAGCCTTGAGCGACCAAACAATAATCCCAGTCATTCCGTAGCGTTGCTCGTTGACAAATTGTCGCGATATTTCGCCAACGATCAACGAACAGAGACCGGAAGCTCGTGCATTATGGAATACTAACTGATCGCTGCAGTTGGCCACGCACGTGCGTGACTTCACCCCATTCACGTCCACGGTCATCAGCAGATACCTGGGGAAATGAATAATGAATGAGCATGGTGTTAACGAAGCAGTGGCCACGAAAAGTGTTGCCAGGGAAATCGGGAAATTCGCTGAAAAACACTCGCTTCCGTCGAATTTATGCGCGACGTTAACGCTAATTAGCCGCATTATTTATCGCGGTTTAGCTGCTACTTCTCCCCCGGACTGCTTTAAATTTGGGAAATTGGAAAATTTGGAATTAGGAAACTTAGGAATTGGAAAATTTGGAATTGAAAAATTTGGAATTGGAAAATTTGGGAATTGGGGAATTTTGGGAATTAGAAAAGTTGGAATTGGAAACCTTGGAATTGGGGAATTTAGGAAGTGGAAAATTTGGAATTGGAAAACTTGGAATTGGAAAACTTAGGAATTGCAAACCTTGGAATTGGAAAATTTGTAATTGCAAACCTTGGAATTGGGAAACTTGGAATTGGAAAACTTAGGAATTGGAAAACTTGTAATTGCAAACCTTGGAATTGGAAAATTTGTAATTGCAAACCTTGGAATTGGGAAACTTGGAATTGGAAAACTTAGGAATTGGAAAATTTGGAATTAGAAAACTTGGAATTGAAAAATTTGGAATTGGAAAATTTGGGAATTGGGGAATTTTGGAAATTAGAAAATTTGGAATTGGAAACCTTGGAATTGGGAACCTTGGAATTGGGGAATTTAGGAAGTGGAAAATTTGGAATTGGAAAATTTGGAATTGGGAAACTTAGGAATTGGAAAATTTGGAATTAGAAAACTTGGAATTGAAAAATTTGGAATTGGAAAATTTGGGAATTGGGGAATTTTGGAAATTAGAAAATTTGGAATTGGAAACCTTGGAATTGGGAAACTTGGAATTGGGGAATTTAGGAAGTGGAAAATTTGGAATTGGAAATCTTGGAATTGGCAAACTTAGGAATTGGAAAATTTGGAATTGCAAACCTTGGAATTGGAAACCTTAGGAATTGAAAGACTTGGAATTGCAAAATTTGGAATTGCAAAACTTGGAATTGGAAAACTTGAAATAGGAAAATGAAAGGAAACTAGATGTCTTTATTTATAATTTCACTCACCCAAATTAGAACATAAACTCACAAACAAAATTTCGACGAAAAATCAGTCAAACCCTAATAATTCAAAATCAAAATAACCTGATGTATCTAAAAATTTTTCCGCGCCATCTTAAATATTCCTCAAACTATAACGTCAACACGTCAGCAGTGCAAGCCTAAACCCATGCAAATACATTCGTACACATTTCATTTTGCACACACTTTAATCTCGCTCAGTACACGAAGCCATAAGGCGTTCTCCGAGTGAAAACAAAGGGTAGCTCGCTAACCGTGGCGAGAAATTATTAATCCTTAGCGATTATCTTTCTCGCGAACTCGTTTCATTCATCGCGAAAAGCGTAATATTGAATTCGGCCACTGTTATCGCGTATGAAACTCGATGTTAATGCGTCCGCGAATTATTAATCCTTCGGGGACGTCGCGGTCGAGGGGGTGAGATATTGCGCGGGGAGGGGGTTGTTCGCGATTGGACGGTGTACCTCGATAGGTTGTTAGCCGAGAGATTATCGTTAATGTTTATCGCGGTGAAAGAGATTGAAACCGTTGGAAACGGTGGCCGTTAACTTGAATCTCCGATGAAATACGCTGGAAAATCGGCAGACAGTGTCTATTGATTTGCTAACTTCGCTTCGCGGAACCGCCATTGTTAGAACTAATTGGGAGATACATCTGTTTGGATAATAGAATCTTGCTTCAACGAGTTATCTTCTGGAGACGCTGTTCAAATAAAATGTGGAAGCTAGTCTCGAACTTCTGCCGAAGTTCTCTGCTCTGCAAATGGCATTAATTTCGATGCCATTTTTTCAATTATAGTCAGACATGTATTTCGGGAGGAATAAATTAGGAGAACAATTTCTTCAAATTGTGAGAAGCAGTAGGTTTGAGTAGCAGCACTTGAACCACAATGAAAAATTATTTAAATATTTTTTACTGTTGCACTATTAAAAATTTTGCTATTCTATCTTTGCAAATTTTCAAACTCCCAAATTACAATTTTTTTAATTTTATTACCTGATCCTTCTTATACCCCTAAATTCATAAATTTGTAGATACCTAAATCCTCCAATCTCTACATTCATAAAATAAATAATAAAACTTTTGCAAATATTTAAACTCTCAAATTACAATTTTCCAAATTTTTCAAATTTGATGATCTTGCACCCCTAAATTCATAAATTCATAGATACCTAAACCACCGGTCTCTACATTTATAAAATAAGCAATAAAACTTTTGCAAATTTTTAAACTCTCAAATTACAATTTTCCAAATTTTTTAAATTTTATAACCTGATCCCTTTTATACCCCTAACTCCATAAATTCATATCTAAATCCCCCCACCTCTAAATTACCAAAATAAATAATAAAACTTTTGCAAATTTCCAAACTGCTCAATTACAATTTTCCAAATTTTTAAAATTTGATGACCTGATCCCTCTTCTACCCCTAACTCCATAAATTCATATCTACCTAAATCCCCCCACCTCTAAATTCCCAAAACAAATAATAAAACTTCTGCAAACTTCCACACTCCCCAATTACAATTTTCCAAATTTTAAAAATTTGGTGACTTGATCCCTCTTCTACCCCTAACTTCATAAATTCATATCTACCTAAATCCTCCCATCTCTAAATTCCCAAAACAAATAATAAAACTTCTGCAAACTTCCACACTCCCCAATTACAATTTTCCAAATTTTTAAAATTTGATGACCTGATCCCTCTTCTACCCCTAACTCCACGAATTCATATCTACCTAAATCCCCCCATCTCTAAATTCCCAAAATAAATAACAAACCCTCACAATAATATTTTAAAGCTACAGACGATCATAAATTCGAACAGAAGCATTCCTATAATAAACAAAAGTGTTCCAAAATAAATTCGTCAATCTCTCTGATTTGTCAATCTTTCTGATTTGTTAATCTCTCTAATTTATCAATCTAAAAATTGTCCTCCTTTCCCATATATCTAACAGTGGAATCTGCAGATTAATTTTTAGCCAACTACAGAAGGATTTACAGACAGCGTTGGAATAGTGCTTACCGCTTATTCGTCATGTCTGCACCCTTGCAGCTGAATTGAGGATCAGTTTCACCCTTCGTGACACGACCACAAACGTTTCCACAGTTATCATAGCCATTTACTACACGGTACACGTCACCGTGCTTCACCGTGTTGGAAACTAGAAAGCCCTGTACACCGACAAAAGGAAAAAGTAGAGTAGAGTATCTTTTCGTTGTCTTGGAAAGGAAAAACGGGACGTACGTAACCAATCGCGAGGGCAATCACGATGATCAAAGCTATGAGATCGGTGCACGATCGATTGGTGACGAAAACTTGCTCCGTGTGCCGAGATGACATTCCCTCATCGTCGGTTGTCTGAAAAAAAATATTTTCTTGATTAATTTTTTATTTTTTTATTTTTGGGAGGATTTGTTTATGGGTAGGTTAGCTTAGGTTAGGTTAGGTTAAATATTTTCTTGGTTAATTGGTGATTTTTTGTTTTTTAGGAGGATTTGTTTATGGGTAGGTTAGGTTAGGGTAGGTTAAATATTTTCTTGGTTAATTTTTGATTTTTTGATTTTTGGGAGGATTTGTTTAGGGGTAGGTTAGGATAGGTTAGGGTAGGTTAAATATTTTCTTGGTTAATTGGTGATTTTTTGTTTTTTCGGAGGATTTGTTTATGGATAGGTTAGGATAGGTTAGGGTAGGTTAAATATTTTCTTGGTTATTTGGCAATTTTCTGTTTTTTAGAAGGATTTGTTTATGGTTAGGTTAGGTTAATCGGGGAGTTAATATTATTAGTTCTTGAGATAGTGATGTTTTCATGAATTTTTGAAGGTTGTTTTGCTATTTGAATTTATGGTGCGGTCTCGATATATGGCCCAAGGAAAATCAAGGTTAAATGAAGGAGATTTTGATGGAAGTTTAATGGTAGGTTAATGAGTTTGTTAAATATATTCGATATTAAATTTATGAGATTGTTGAACAAATTCGATGTTAAAGCACTAAGTTCATTAGCTAAATTCGACATGAAATCAATAAGTTTGTTGAACAAATTCCATGTTAAATTAAGAAATTCATTAATAAAATTAAATCTTAAATTAACAAGTTTGTTGAACAAATTCAGTGTTGAATTAAAAAATTCATCAAATAAATTAGAAATATATATTAATAAGTTTGTCAAACAAAAATCAATGTTAAATTGAAAAATTCATAAAATAAAATCAACCATAAATTAACAAGTTTGTCAAACAAAATTCAATGTAAAAATAAAAAATTCATGAAATAAAATCAACCATAAATTAACAAGTTTGTCAAACAAATTTAGCGTTGAATTAATAAGTTCATCCCAAAAATTCTATGTTAAATGAACAAGTATGTTGACCATATAAATAATGAAATTACTAAGTGTATTAAATAAATTGAACTTTAAATAAATTTCGAAGGTGTTCATGATCTGTCCAATTTAAAAATGAGTATTTTCTTACACATACGTCGCTCGACAAATTAACCCCAGATAACATTTCCGACAAAATATTTAACCTACTAAGTATCGTTAAAAATGCACCCACCTCCGTTTCACCGTGAGCGGAAGCCGCGCTTAAAGACATAGTAACTCGTGGCAATCGACTTCTTGTCGCAACAATTTCAAACTTTACATCGGCACGTTTGACAGAAGCTCGCAAATAAGCTGAACTCGAAGGAAAGAGACTCGGGTTGGCTTCTTCTCGGAGGTACGCAGGGTTCCCGTGTAACAACCGGAAATGGAGGATCTATCGGTCGCGGTCAGCATTCCAGTAAATTTTCGACCGACGAAATCGAGCGTAGCTAATGCTTTCGACGAATCGCCGTGGGAGCAAAAGAGAAAGACCGTAAGAGAGAGAAAGCTTGTAACCGTAGTACAAGCGAACACAACCGCCAGCCTTAAATTAATTAGAGTCTTCGACGGTGACCTTGCATTAGAGTCCGACCGTAATTAAATTTCTCCGCCGCCATATTAGGAGCACGTCAATTTCGTTTCGCTGATAACATCATCACGATCGGTCTAGCACGCGGTGCAAACATTTTTATTCTTCAAGTTGGCTGCGCCTGCGATCGATAACAGCGATAAAATCGATTCACAACGACAAACAGTGCATTCTGGAGGAAAGATTGATGACGTTTTGCGACGGTTGTTTCGTAAGGAGCGATTAGGAGCTTCCTGAAGGGAATGCTGATAATTAGGGGATTGATATTACCGTTTTTGTTGGTTTTTAATTGTTTTAGAATTAAAACATTTTTACTCTTCAAGTTGGCTGCGCCTGCGATCGATAGCAGCGATAAAATCGATTTACAACGACAAACAGTGCATTCTGGAGGAAAGATTGATGACGTTTTGTGACGATTGTTTCGTGGGGAACGATTAGGAGCTTCCTGAAGGGGATACTGATAGTTGTCGGATTGATGTTACCGTTTTTGTTGGTTTTTAATTGTTTTAGAATTAAAAAAACGCGTGGCAATGTAACGCGTAGTTAACCAACGCGTAGTAATTCTAAGCGTAGGAATCTAACGCGTGGTAATCTAACGCGTAGAAATCTAACGCGTGGTAATGTAACGTGTAGTAATGCAACGCGTAGTTAACCAACGCATAGTAATGCAACGCGTAGGAATCTAACGCGTGGTAATCTAA